CATGATGTGAATATTCATAAACTTGAAGTTGTCCCAGAGGCTTCTTACACTATCTTCATATTGTTGGATTCTTTTCTCTTTTTGCTCTTCTGATTAGGTGTTTTGCATCCTTATATTTCATATCATTGATTTGATTCTTGGAATCCTCTACTCTACTGTTGGATCCCTATAAATAGCATATGCTTAATTTCTGACTGGTCTTTTTTCATGTCTTTGACACTCTCACAAAGACCCTTGAAACTCTTATGAAAATTCTTGAGTAACCTTATAACTGTGGTTTTGAACTCTGTATCCAATAGTTTGCTTTCTTCCATTTCTTTAATTTGTGACATGCTTCTTTGTCTCTGCATTTTGGCTGCTTCCCTGTTGGTGTCACTGGGAGGAACTGACCTCCAGGCAGATTGGTTGTGAGGACCAGCTGAAACCACAGTAGGAGAGCTGTGCAAGAAGCAATGCTATGGAGCAGAACTTGCCTCAGTAGGGCTTTTTTTTTTGCTCATTGAGTCTTCCCCTTGAGTGTATTACTAGAGTTGTAGTCTGAAGCTGTGGTCTGAAACTGTTCACTGGGTGCACTGGCTCTAGGGTCTCCAGGAAGGTGCAAAGTCATCCATTGTCTGGTGTCATCCAGTAGCAACTACAAAGAAATCTGAAGATGCCTTCTATTTGTAGTGGGTTTGCAAGTGCTCAAGTGAGGCCCAGCTGGGAAGTGAGGCAGGCTGGTGCTAGTACCAAGTCTTTAATGAATAGTTTGGGGGCATGCTGACACCAGCTGCAGTTTGTTTGAGAGATTTTAGAAAAGTCTAAGCCTGAATCTGAACAGGCCATTCATATGGAAAAATTGTTGCAAACAGATTGGGTGGGGCTGCAAATTGGATGGTGCAGGGTCTCAAAGAATCATTGGGGTGGAGCAAACAGTTTGAGCCAGAATGATGGAGACTCAGATATAGCTGCCAGTCAGCCCTGTGACAGGGTAGTTCCCAGCACAGGAACAATCATCCCTGCAAGCACTCCCATCTGAAAGAAAGCTGCCTATGAGTTCCTGCCCTGATGCCAGACAATCCACTTCCTCCCTATATGTGTCCTGGTCCCCCAATGCCTCCTGGTGCTGGAGCTCAGAGGGGTCGAATCCTAGTAAGTTTGTATGCTAGCCCTTTAAGAAGGCCACCTTAGTCTCCAGCACCCTCAGTCCCTGTTAGTTTTTACAGCCCAAGTTACAGGGACTTCTTAGCTCTGGGACCCTGGGTTGGGGTGGGTCTAGTGTGGGGCTGGGGCCCCTTGTTCCTCATGGGAAGTCTCCACAGGGGCCATCTCTCTTCTGATTAGAAAACAGCACACATGGGTGTTGGACCAGCCTATTCTGTGCCTCTGCCCTTCTTACCAGTCTCAATGTGCTTTCTACTTTATTTCTCTAGTTGTAGGACTTCCCATTCAGCCAGCTTTCAGGTGGTTCTGAATGATGATGGTTCTGTATTTTAGTTGTAATTTTGTTGTGGTTGTGGGTAGTGGCAAGTACTGGCATTTACCCACACCACCCTCTTGGTTCTTTTGTCTGATTCTTTTTATAGTTTTAATCTCTTTAGAAAAGTATTTATTTTGTTTATTACTTTTCTTCCTGAGTTTATTGAATTGCCTTTCTGAGTTTATTTTGTATCTCATTGAATTTCCTCAAACTGCCATTTTGAATTCTGTCATTTAAGTCACTCTTCCATGACTTTGAATTTGGTTTCTGGAGACTTGTCATTTCTTTTTGGGTTACCATGTTACTTGATGTATTGTTTCTCTGCTGGCACATTTGAAGTACTAGGCTTTTGTTTAGTTACTGTTTTGATCTTAACAATTCAGCAGGTTAATAAGTATAGGTTTTTCTTTTGTTTTCCAATAGATAACACTATAGTGCAAATTTTTGTTTCCTCTTATCTCTATTACTTGTGCTGCCAGGGTGGAGGTGAGAGGGTGTTTCTTTGGCATGGAAATTGACTACTGTGTGATGGGGTAGTGTTAGCTCACTGTGGTATTATGGCATCACCTCCAAATAAAATGTGACTATGGGCGTTAAGCACTAGTAACAGACAATAAGCACTCACTGTGGTCTTATGGTTCAAAACCACAGATATAAGGTTACTCAAGAATTTTCATAAGAGTTTCAAGGGTCTTAGTGAGAGTATCTACACATAGATGGATGTGTAGGATAGGGAGAGCCAGGCTTAGGAGCCTGTAGCACTGTTGCTAATGGCTTATAGCACCTTTGTGCTGTTTAGTACCTCTCAGTGCTGCTCCTCAGTTTCCTCACAATGGAGGGGGGAGTGGCTTCTTGGGCACCAATGTTGTCCCTGCCCCTCTTACCTTCCACTGGGCCATAGTCTGTGGGTTGCTGTGTGGTCAAACCCTGATTCTTGCAGCAGCTGCCGAACTGCCCCTGCAGACACTATCCCTGTCCTGCCTCCCATCTTGCCTCCCCTATGCATTCCAATACACCCATCTGCAGATGTATTCATGTGTGGATCTCTCAGGCATGTTTGTTGGATTGTAGATGTCTTACTTGTAAATTTAGGGGAAGATAAAAAGGAATCTTCTTACTCCACTGTGATGCTTACACCACTTTTCTCAAGTGTTTGCTGCTTTTTGTGAAGCAGTTATAAGAATTGTTTTAAAGCCTTCATGTGACAATCCCATGAGATCTTCTCAGGCTTGACATGTATTATCTTTTGCTACCTGAGAGTATTATGGTCTTTTGTATGTCAAATAACTTTGTGTTGTGTCATGGACATTGTAAATGTTGTGTTGTATGGCCCCTGGCTCCTATTGAGATTATCTGGAGAATGTTGGTCTTTTTGTTTTCAACCTGGTTAGGGTCAGACTGCATGCTCTCTCTTGATCTTGTGTAGATGGTAGTTAAAATGCCAGCTTAATTCTCAGAATCTTTAATAGGTTGGTTTGAGTCTGTCCCACTCACAAAACTTGTGTGGGCTCCTACACAGAATTAGGGGAAGGTCTCTTTCTGCTCTGGGATTCTCATCTCACTCTCACTTTAGCCCCCACAGGGATACTTTTCTTAGATAGAAAGATGTTTCTTTTTACCTCAGATTTTATTTAGCCAGCCACATCATGGCCACTACTGCACTGCTCCACAGGAGGGTTACCTTTGAAGCATAAGTCACATGCTCAGGAGAGGTCCTATTTCCTGCAGTCTGATGCTTCCCTGTGCAGATGAGTCTCCATACCGACACAATCCATCTGCTTTCAATTTTGGCATCCTCAAGTAATTGTTTCATATTTTTGCCAAGAGATTTTAATTGAAATCAGTGGGATAGGCAGTCACTGGCTCAAGGTGGCAGGATGGAACTGGAAGTCTGCAACACTTAATAGAAGTTTGAGCCTGGAAAAGCTACTACATCTATATGCCTCTGGATCTCTACTTGTGCATGTGTAAATTACCTACATAATTTTTCATTTTTGGCATTGTGTCATGAAAATAAAATGTGACTATGGGCATTAAGCACTAGTAACAGACAATAAGCGCCCAGTAAACATCAATGCATTATTTATGTATGTCCTATAAGAGTGAACACTTAGATTAGAATTACTGGAAAAAAATAAGAACTAAAAATAAAAAATAACTAAAAAGTTAGAAGTTGTTGATCTGACTACCTGTATGCTGATGCTTGAAGGTTAAAGAGAGAGGACATTTAGAAGAGCAAAGTATTTTATGCCAATTTTGTAGCCACTGAAATTATATGCTTATCCTTTTCAATGGATACATATGGCAGTGATCAATACAGGATTTAAAGGACAGTTAAAGCAGTTTGCAGGTATGCCTTTTATAAAATACAAAGTTAAATAAGAGTGAAGGCTATTCAGGGAGGAGCAAAGTAGGTTTACACTTGTATGTGAAACAGTTTGTTCTTGTGTTATTATTTACTAGAGGCGTGGTGCACGAAATTTGTGTACTTGGGGGTGAGGAGGAAACTGGTCTTGCAAGGCGTGTCAGGCCATAAAAACTGTGAAAAATGCACTTCCTTGGGGGGAGGGGGAGAGAGTCACTATTTCTGGCCTCAGGAAAGATAATTGGATATGGCCTGGGGACCCCCCAACACCTGGGATCCTTCCTGTAAGCCCACAAAAGGGGCGGAACCATATCTGTGAGACAAAGACTCTAGGTTATAAAAAGAGAAGCCCTCTGCATGTCTCTTCACTCTGATTTGGAAATTATTCCTGGAGTCCACTAGTGTAAATAAAGGGGGTCCCTCCCTTTCTATAGGAAGCATGCTTGGTATTTCTTTGGTCTTCTGCAACAGGGGGAGGGGTCCCTTTTGCAGTTTGGGAGCCCTAGGGGGATGTCCAACTGATGCTTAGGCCCACTCCCCATAAGAGTGCACTGGCTCAGGGCTTCTTGCTGAGTGGTGCTCCCCTGTGAAAGCATACTGACCACCAGGGGGCAGCTCATGCATTTGGTGTTGGAGTATCTGCCCCTTTCTGGTCAGTGGACATCATAGTGATTGGTTGTTCCACCATTTGGTTGATTTGCATATTAGCCTTTTATTATATAGGATTAACTAGAGGCCTGGTGCAGATTTGTGGGGTCCCTTGGCCTGGCCTGGCCTGCAGGGATCGGGCCAAAACTGGCTCTCCAACATCCCCCAAGGGGTCCCAGGTTGCAAGAGGGCAGTTCTTGGGTGACACACTAGAGTCAGTCTTCCTCCTCTCCAGTTCTGGGTGCATCACCTGAGAACTGCAGCTGCCAAGTCACTGGTGCATTGAGCATCTGCCCCTGGTGGTCAGTGCATGGCATAGCTACCAGTCAGAGTGTCTGCCACCTGGTGGTCATTGTGTGTCATAGCTACCAGTTGGATGGTCGGTTGCTTAGGCTTACATATATACTGTATTATTTTCCATATGAATGACTATACACTTACTTTCCCCCCACCAGTATAATAAATGCAAACTAAGGGTTTTGTTTACTTTCTGGATAATACTACTGTTTCCATTTGCTCCCTTGCTAGATGGCTGAAAAGGAACATGCAACCCACTGAAGATCTTAAGTCAATAATCCAGAAGCTGTCTGTGTTTGGGCCAATTAAGTCAGTCAGCCTTTGTGGACGGCAAAGTGCTATTGTGGTGTTTGAGAACATGACTTCAGCGTGCAATGCTGTAAGTGCTTATCACAGCAAGAAGCCTGGCACCATGCTGCATTGTTGCTGGAAACACCGATTCATGTCCAAAGGTGTAAGATTCCATTTACCAAAAACCTATGTAAGTTCTTTTTTTTCCTTCTTTTCTTTTTTATTGCCAAAACGTTTATTGTGAAATGGTCTTAAAAGAAAGGAAAACAAAGATCACATCCAAATGAAATGTATGATACCAACTTGGATTTTTGAATACACTGTGGACTTTGTGCCAAATGTCAAATTCCAACTATGAAGGCAGTGCCTGAATAGTCTTACCACACAAAAGTAACATTTAATCTGCCATGCAACCATTATGCAAGATTTTGGCATAGGATGCTCAGAGTAACATTGCAACAGAATTGAGGAAAAAAAAATTTGTTATAAAACAAAGTGATAAGGCCATCTAAGTCTCATACTCAGGAATATATTTTCTGTTTAGTACAAAAATTTTAAAATAGTGCAAAAGCAACACGTGTAGTGTGTTATAGCCGACATTAAAACCTTATTCTGCACATGATGTAAAATAACTAATGTACGTGGTTGAAACTTTAGTTCGAAGTAAATACTCACATGCCAGAGAGCTCCTCACAGGCAAGAGTGCAAATGACATATTGGATTTGAGGAAACATAGCTAGTCCTCGGATTTCCAGGCAAACACACATTTTCCCTCATAGAAATGCTGCATCAAGAGCTATTAGGCTACACTACAATCAAGGGAACAGAACAGGTTCTTCTTTTTGGCAATGCTTAAAATCTAAACAGGAGAAGTCTTACTCAAAAGTAGCAAAAGGTACCTGTTTATAGAAAAAGTATGCTCTATTACGTATGTGATATGGTGAGACTGTTAATTTTAAAAAGCTGCAATAAATCTTGATACTTAAAATTTTTTTAAAGTATCAAGGTTTAACTCAGAGATTTAGTTTTAAAGTGATCTTTCATGAAATGCTTACCACTCTAATGAAAACTCTGACAATAAAGTTATCTACATCGTGGGACTATACAAGTCATTTTAGATCTCTCCCAATGCCACCCTGCCACTTCCCATTCCTTGATTTTTATGGAGTCAAGTTTGAATCCCACGCTTGGTGGTGAAGTGTAACAAATCCGTTGCATACTAAAAACCACTGGCTACAAAAGAGCTCTCAACAGTTCTAGAACATCCAATACAGGCATGCTATGAGTCTCCTAACTCTTCCCATTGGTTGTTTATGTAAAATACCAAATTATAATTTTGCTAAAAAAAAAAAAGAAAAAGATTGTTAGGAAAAGGGCACCTTTTAAATTAACTTGGCTATTTTGCAGAATTGTAGATACCTCAATAAGAAAAAACAAAACTTCTTGTGGCATCAATGTAGCTGGAGAGTACATTTAGCTGCTTCATAGTTTCCACCAGCATTCTTCTGGGGAAAGATACCATTTCCACAAGTGGAGATTTAAAATAAATGCCACAAACCTATAAAATTCCGATTGTGTAGTAGTTGTAATTCTGAAAATGCACCTTTTAACTTGGATAATTCTATTTTGGGAATAAAAATTAGATGTGGAACTCTAAAAATGCCAGCTTTAACAAGTTTCTCAATGATGGGTGTTTTGGGTGAAATTCTTTAATAGGTGTGACTATCTTGCCATGCTGGATATTACAAAGTTTTGGTATTAGGCACTTAATACATCCTCAGGCACCATGACGGCCAAAAATATGCCCCAACACTCCCCAAAACCATTAGGTGACAGCACTAGCCCGGTAGAGAACACTAGTATGGTGTTATCAAATTCTAAATGATCAACTGGCTCCAGGGCAATGTGGGATCAGCAGCTGGGGTTGCCAAGGCCCAGCACATGGGCGGGGGGGGGCACCTGGGATTGAGAGGACTGCGGCCCCACCAGGCTCACATGCTTCCACCAGAGTCAGAAGTTGAACATCAAAACTATGTAAATTCTAAAAACTTGTTTTATATATATATTTTTTAATCAGGGCTCTAGTAAATAAAATAATCATAAATATTTTATCACTGAAAAAAAAAGGCACAGTGAGGTTTATTTAGTTGAAGTATTGGAAATTAGAAATTGTAGCACATCTCCTCCTTTGAAATGCTTAACTTTGCTTATTAGTCATCACAGTTTTGATCTTTTGGATAAGAAGTTCATGGTTGCATTCATACATTCGTCTGATAGCCATCTTTTCTGGAGGACACTACATTCTTCAGCATTAACAGCATGTAGCTTTTCTTTCTCTATTTTCCTGATGACCTGTTTTGAAATTCTCATGGACTAAAAAAATAAAAACCAACAATAAGGTTAAGAGGTATTCTAATAGCATGGTATTATTCTAAAGTTCTGATTCTTGTTTCAGATTAGACATTAAAATATTTGTGTAATATAAGACAGTGCTTCTCAAATGTGCACACAAACCACCTTAGATACTAAAGCTTCTGATTTTAGGATGGCATTTTGAGCAGCAAACATATGAATCACATATGAAAATGGAAGTGCTACATTAAGAATCGCCTAGAAATTAAGCTATCTTACCTAGTTTCTTACCTAGATTCAAGACTAAAAGTATTTGGTAAATACTGACTATCATTCTCCTCAAAGTTATCCCCAGAAAGAACTGGTACCACTGCCTTCATATCATAAAAATGGAATGCGTATTTGATAATTTTTTTAAAACTTAGTATTGCTAACATTATGATGATAATTTTTAATCTCAAATTTAGGTGTACTTAAAGCCAATCAAGATATGTCTTGTGTGTTTTTTTAATTGCTTATTTTCTTAAGGTTCCATGGCTCATACAAGTGAAAAAAAAAAAAAAAAAAAAGAATACTAACATTTTGGGGGAGCTTTGAATATGCTTTCAGCCTCGTCCAAACTTCTTTCTGAAAAGTACTATCAGGAAAAACTTCAGTAACAAGTCCTTGAGCACATGCTTCTCTTGCTGTTAACTTCTTTCCAAAAATAAGCATCTCTGTTGCCTGAAATGAAAAGGAAAACTAAGAAAATAACCTAATGAAACGAGGCTCAACTTCAGAATTAATTGCTTTTAATAGACATAGGGAGATCTACTTATGGTCTTTTGAAGTTGCTAGTATTTCTCAAAGGAAGAAACTGAGGACATCAATAGGCAATAGTTTACAGACTGAGCATTGAGGCTCTCTAGAAGGTTTGTAGGGTTGTTGCTTCTGTGTGTGTTTATGTTGGGGAGGAAGCTGGGGCAGAAATGACCTGAAGCAGATGCTGACTTTATAATCCACAGAAGATATGATTTTCTGCTTTTATACACTATAAACTATTTAAAAAAAAAAAAAGAAAAAGAAAAAAAATCATGGTCATAGGAAATGCCAACCTTTAGAATCCCTAACTTTCAAAATTCCCTTCCCTGAAAATTCTACCCAGTGGTCTAGCTTTGATGGTTTTCTTTTACCTGCACAGGCACTCAAATTGGTTCTCTTTGACTGAAGGAAAGTGTTTAGTTTCAAAAAAACCTGATATCACTATATATATATATATATATATATATATATATATATATATATACACACACACACACACACACACACATATATATATATATATATATATATATATATATATATATACATATATATATATACACACACACACACACACACACACACACACACACACATACATATACTAGAGACCCAGTGCACGAAATTCATACACTTGGGGGGTGGGAGAGAGGGGTCTCGCAGCCCAGATTGCGAGAGGGTGCAGGCCAGGCCCAGAGACCCCACTGGTGCACAACTGGGGCCAAGGAGGTTGGCCAGCAGGAGAGGGACCGTTGGAGGGCTCCAGGGAGTGTCTGGCCCATCTCGCTCAGTCCCGATTGGCCAGACCCCAGCAGCAAGGTAACCTACCAGTTGGAATGTCTGCCCCCTGGTGGTCAGTGCACATCACAGTGAGCAGTTGAGCTGCCTTAGCATATCATTATCATATTATGCTTTGATTGGCTGAACGATCGACCAGATGACCAGACACTTAGCATATTAGGCTTTTATTATATAGGATTTCTACACTTGCAATTTCTCTTCCAGGAAAGTAAGACTATTTCATAGCCAAGTGCTTCTAAACCTTAGGGTTATTTCTAGCCAGTGTTTCAAAGTTAAAATCTCAATAACAGTTCAGGTTATATGACAGAATAGATTTAAAAAATATGTAACAAAACCCTAACAGCAATGAAAATAGTCTCAATTCCTACTCCCCCTTTCAGGCCTTGAAGAATGTTGGCTAAGCCTTTCCCTATCCCTATCTCTCTGCTCTTGTCATGAACCCTTTGGAGCTATGCACACAGAGCATGACAATTATGATTTCACAGACCCAGTGATAGACCTGAGCAGCCACCTAGCCACTCTAGGAACCTCTATACCCTGCTAAAACCAGCTGATGAAAAGGCTCTGTGACAAAGTGGGAAACCCAATGAGGCCTCACATCTGCTGGTACTTCCCATGATTCTGAAGGTAAAGGTGTCACTGTATCACTTTCAGTGGATGTTGCTCATCCATGAAGACATTAGGGGAGGAATCAGCATCTCATGCCAAGTGAGGCGGGCACAGCCCTGGTCTGTCCCCTGAAGAATGCCACGCAGCTGTGCCACTTGTGGTGCAGCTGGCACTCGCCGACCAGTGGAAAGACCAGTTCCCCAGATTTGGGCGCTGCAGAGAGTGATCCTAATTTCCCCCCATATCAGACATTTCCCACATCCTGGTTCTTCATTCTAAACTTCTAAGAATTGATGAGCAGAAAATTTCCTTCTTTTTTGTTGTTGTTATTGAGGGAAAGAAGAGGGAGTACAGGATTACTTTTGGAAAAGAGATGTCATTAAAATTTATCTTTAAGGTTTTCAAAGGTTACCTTGGCTGGGCCCATTATCTTCGGGAAAGTGTAAGAGGCGCATCCTTCTGGACTTAGGCCTAAGTGACTAAAAGGAGTATGAAATGTTGCCTATTTGGAGAAAAAAATGAATAAGAAATAATTTTGTATGTGATTAAAAAATAATTATCTATATCCTCACATTACTTAGTTGAAAAGCATTTTAAAAATTAGTACTGTGCTATTATACACACATACACTCATTCTTTTAATGTATGCAGTTTGATAAGTTTTAAGAAATGTATAGTTAC